GAAAAGGGAGGGAGGACTGTCCCTGTAAATTTACTGAGATTCAACAGCATAGCTTCCAACCATTTTGAGATAGGATCCAGCTGAAAATTATACCAGGCATCACAAAGTAAAAAGAAATCCCCTCTATTCATATTTCATGCACTGCACAATTCAAAAATATTCCTGTTTTCTTCATTAAAAGGCAGGCATTCAGCAGAACTTGTCATTTTAAATCTGACCAGGTAGCAACTTCATAATAGTAATTTATGATTTATAATTCGCCCTGTTGACTGATGAGTACAAGTGGTTTTCTGTCATACTTGTAGTCTTGTTATGCCTTCTGGGTTTCTGGAATTTAGAGAACTCTTATGGTAACCCAAGGATGTTTATTTTTATAACCCAAAGCTCTTTCTTACTAATTAAATGCCAAGTTTATAATGAGACTTCTCATACTTTAAATATTTTGATTGCATAGACGTGAGTGGGCATTCTAACTACCCAGTCATTCGGAATTTGGGTGGTGTGCAAATTAATAATTGTGAACTTTGTGATCATTAAAAATGTGCATGTTATTTGTTAAGGTTAGGGTAACATATACAAATCAGCTAATGGTGTTTTTCCTAATATGGAGACAACTGATGCTTTTGGGCAGCTGCAGCTAAATGCACCTTTGCATTTGTACAACACGGTAAGCCATAAACTAATCATCATGTTTTAGACTTGTAGATGGTGTGAACTTGTCCAGTGTAGTACTGTAGGTTTATTAATCAGTGAATTATACGAACACAGGAAATGGAATTGAATAAATCATAATTCAATTAACAATTATGACTTCAGGTATACGTCTTGCTAGTGAATGTCTGGCAAGAAAAAGACCCAGACCCAAAAGGCAATCCAACAACTGTTCCAAAAATCAAAAGCCAGTTTGAAAAATATTTTAAATTACTTACGGAAGAATAGCCAAGCGCATATATTGTGGCAAGTTATGTCAAAAGACAAGGCTACCCACAATGATAGTCTACTTCAGAATGCTAACATCCCCTTCCTTTTGTGGGACATGATTCCTAAGATTGTACCTTGTATGAAAGTAATGAAATAGCAGAAAATAAACCCACAGAATTTTTTCTTCATTGAAAACCAGCTAATTTATCCTTTGGGCTTTTCAAAAGTGTTGCTTATCATTTTTGAAACAAACTACCAATTGCCAGATCTTTACAAGTCCTACTTTCAGCATGAATATAGATCATATGTGTCTCCACAGATTTGCAAACTGTGTTCAGACTTGCATCTTTAAAAAGCCCTGTACTATATAAAGTGTAGTATTAATCACACATCTAGGGACTTGCTCACTGAGTATTTACAATACTCCTTTTATATGATGACACAACGCTTCTGTTTCAACAGCAGGTGATGCTCATGTTATATAATTATATGTTCTTGTTATAAAAGAAATGGCTAAATGTTACACTAATAAGGAAATGGTTCATTTTGACCAACTCGTGCCAGGTACATTTTATTAACAATTAAAATAGATTATTTGCATGGCCACAAATAAACTAATAATTTGTGTTTTAAAAGCTTTCATTTATTTAAAATATTTGAATGGTCACCCATATTATGTATAATAACTTTGGATGGGTAGCAACAAATATACAGATAACAAAATTTAAAAAATTAAAAACCTATCCTACCCTCAAGCATTATACAGGTAGTCTTTGACTTACAACCATTCATCTAGTGACTGTTCAAAGTTAAAACGATGCTGGGGGGAAAAAACATGACTATTTTCACACTTGTAGCCATTGCAGCATTCCCATAGTCACATGATCAAAATTCAGACTCTTGGCAAATGGCTCACATTTATGACAATTGCAGTGTCCTGGGGTCATGTAATTACTTTTTGTGACAAGCAAAGTCAGTGGGGAAGCCTTATTCACTTAACAAACATGTTACTAAGCTGCAGTGATTCACTTAACAACTGTGGCAAGAAAAGTTATAAAATGGGGCAACGCTCACTTAACAAATGTCTTGCTTAGCAACATAAATTTTGGATTCTGAAGGAACTGGCAGATGTGATCTCAGAACCACTGAACTATATCTTTCAAATATCCTGGAGCACTGAGGAACTACCAGAGGACTGGAAAAGAGCTGATGTAGTATCCATCTTCAAAAAAGAAAAAAAATGGATCCAGGAAACTACAGACCTATCAACCTGACCTCAATATCAAGCAACGAATCAGCAAACACCTAGAGGCAAACAAAGTCATTACCAAAAGCCAACATGAGTTTGTCAAAAACAGATCATGCCAGACAAATCTTATTGCATTCTTTGACCAGGTGACAAAATTAGTGGACCAGAGGAATACTGTGGATATAATTTACCTGGACTTCAGTAAGGCATTTGATAAAGTAGACCACAACCTACTACTTGATAAGATAGCAAACTGTGGGTTAGAAAGCATCACCACCAAATGGATTTGTAGCTGGCTGACCGGCCATACTCAGCATGTGGTCTTCAATGGAGCTGCATCTACATGGAGGGAAGTGTGTAGTGGGATGCCCCAGGGCTCTGTTCTGGGTCCAGTGCTCTTCAACATCTTCATCTATGATTTGGATGAGAGGCTAGATGGGGAACTCATCAAATTTGTAGACAACCAAGCTGGCAGGAATAGCCAACACTCCAGAAGACAGGCTTAGGATACAGAAGGATCTTGATAGATTTGAACATTGGGTGCTATCTAACAAAATAAAATTCAATGGTGAAAAAAATAAAGCAATTTAGGCAAGAAAAGCCAAATGCACAGGTATAGTATAGGTCGGGTGTCAAACTCACAATATCATGTGACGTGTTGCGACGTATTGCGACTTTTTTCCCATTGCCAGAGCTGGGGTGGACGCGGTTTTGGCATGACGCATCTGGCCCACGGCAGTTTAACACCCTTGGTATAGGTGGTACCTGGCTCAATAGTAGTAACTGTGAAAGGGATCTCTGAGTCCTAGTTGACAATCACTTAAATATGAGCCAGCAGTGTGCTGCAGCTTCCACAAAAGCCAGTACTAGGCTGCATTAACAGAGGGATAGAATCAAGATCATATGAAGTATACCACTTTACAATGCCTTGGTAAGGCCACACTTGGAATATTGCATCCAGTTTTCACCCCTTTCAACAATCTTCCTTAAAAAGGGAAAGTTGGAAACTAGATAAAAGTTGACCATCACAGCTGGGTCAAAGGATGCCCATATGAGAAGAGATTGAACCACTGTCTCCTTCAAGACCAGCAGAATAATCCTTTCCCACATGAAGGCTTGGACTCAACCACATTTCACCTCCTGGAAAACCTTAACCAACTATGAAATGTATGGGTCCAGAATAGAGGTGGCAGAGCTCACAGCCATTCTAACTGTTGCAGGACAAATGCATAAAATAATCTTAGGTTTTTCTGCTTCTTTTACTGTATGAGAATCAGACGGTCTAAGCAACTATGTTTACCCATATGTGATTAGAATAACTCAGAATGTTCAGGTCCCATTTCAATTATTTTGCTTTAATTATCACTGCCCAATTCTTGGTTGACCTGGAAAATCTTTATTAAATTTATAAATTGAGAAAATGATGCATATTACTTGGTAGCTGCTGCATCCAATTAGAGATTTCCTACCACAGTCTGTAAATATCCTTCAAGACTGGCTGTGTTTACATAATATACTGAACCACAATAAATTATGCGTGGTTACTTGTGTTTTGATTTCAATCAATGTGTAATATAAATTTAGAGGGGCTAAGTAAGCCAGGATTAAATTAGCCACAAGTATTGTGGAAATCGCTATTATTGAAAAATAGGATAAAACAATCTTGTATTTTTGCACTATTTGGCCTTGTTCATAAACTAGGAAACATCTAATTTAGCCTGTCATTTTCAATATTTTGCTGGGTCATACTTATAATGTACTTATCAGTTTTCAACAGACTTTAAGAACTCACCAGTTCTTGCTCTACATTTTTAAAAGAGTTTCATGCAGGTTATTTGAAAAGCTTTAGGAAGTATAGTGTATATCTTTCTGCTATTTCAATGCTGAATTTCATATTTTTAATCTTAAAAGGTACCAACAGGTTATATATGCATTTTATTTTATTTTATTTAAGTTTTTATTGATTTTTTTCATACAGTTCAAAAGTACTTGTTCAACAAACGTGTTGTCTGAGTTTATCATTCACTAATACAAATTGGATTCCTAATCCCTTATTCTTTTCTCCAGCCATTGATAAAATAAGTCCCAAGTTTGAAAGTATTCTGTTTCTTCTTTTTCTTTCAACCTCAAAGTAAATCCGTCCATTTCCACACAGTCTATTATTTTTTTAATTATTTCTCCCTGTGGTGGTATTTCTTCATTTTTCCAATATTGTGCGAATATGATTCTTGCTGCTGTTATCACATGTAAAATCAAATATATACTTTATTTATCAAGCTTTTCTGACATACCTAATAAAAAAAGTTCAGGTTTAAAAATCTACATCTTTTCTAGCCAAGTATGCTTTAACACATGTCCACCATACATGGTAATAAGTACCTTACAGGTTTACATTTCCAACGTCTATCTGACATTTTTAAACATTTTTGCTAATCTTGCTGGTGGCAAGTGCCATCTATACAAAATTTTATATAAGTTTTCTTTGTAAGAGGTTGACATTGTATAATTTCTTTCCCACAAATTTTGCCATTTTTCTAAATCTATATTATATCCAAAAAAATTTGCCCATGTTATCATTGTATCTTTTACTTGTTCATTTTCCATTTTCAAATTCAGTAAAAAGTTATACATTTTCTTAATTAATTTCTCATCAGAAGTTAATAATATGTGGTCAAACAAGGTCTGCTCTTTGTAAAAACCATACAATTTAACATCTTTATCAAATCTCACTTGCATTTGTAAATATGTCCACCATGATAAATCAATACCCTGATTTTCCATCTCTTGTTTAGATTTTAAATTTCCTTCAAAATTTAGAATATCTTTAAATGTCCATAGTTTTTCAAAACTAACTAAATTTGGTTGTACAAATGCTTCCATTGTTGAAAGCCCTCCTGGAATTTTCAAGTATATTTTACATTTTATTTTTTCCCATGTTAGTAATAGTGCATTTCTAATGTAGTGGTTTTGAAAATATTTATGAATTTTGTTTTTCCCATACCATGAGAAAGCATGCCAACCGAGTTGTAAGTCATGTTCCTCCAAATATAACAATCTTTTATTTCTAAGAGTTATCCATTCTTTTACCCATGTTAATACTGATGCTTGATAATATAAAACCCACTCTGGCAGGCCAAAACCTCAATTTTCCTTAGCTTCTTGTAACATTTTCAATTTAATTCTAGCTTTCTTTCCTTGCATTTTATATTTACCCGTGGTTAAGCTAAAACGTGGTTTATTTTCTTGGTTCATTTAACACTCCTGGAGCAAAGACTAATCACAATTTAGTTTGTATGAATTTAGCTGCAAATAGTTAATTATTTTAAAACTTATAAATTTAGCATAGTAAGAACTTGTCCTAGCATTGGCTAAGAAAGATTTAAATTCATTGAATAGTTAATGGATGTCTGGGTTCACAAAAATGTGTACCTCCATTGTTCATCTCATTTATTAATTAATTTATTCATATGTCTCTTTTACAACCCCCAAAATATTCAGGATTAGGAATTAGATCATTCTGGCATTAAAATATTCAGGTCATTATTAGTCAAAGCACTTTCATTAGATCTGACATTATTGCAAATCCCAAATCCTGATACTTTGGTTAGTAGCCTTGCCCTGCCCAGTCCATTCTTCAAGAAAATGAGATGAAGGCGCAGAATCTGAAAATTCAAAGCAAATCATTACCCAGGTTGTTACCAATACTTACCAACCTAAGAAGACATTTCCCAACAAATGAACGGCAGCACCCTCATAACATCCACTGCTGCTTACCTAGTTAATGAAAAAGGGTCATTCACATAATGAAGGCTTTCTAGGGTTCTTAGAATACTTAGAAAGATTGGAGGGAATAGGTAAGGACTTTTTTGTTCTCCAAAATGGCAGCCCTTAACCTACTTAATGTGATAGTATACTGAGCCACAAAGTAGCCAAACAAATTTATCTAACACATTGTGTGGATCTTTCCCTAGAACGATGTGGAACTGGAGTTAAGATTTCTCATGCGAATGACAATTTCAGGTAAAGAATCTACTGTAATTGAATAATTGCATTTTCCCCAAATGTTTTCTAAAGCTACCAATTTGATAGTTAATGTCTAGTTATTAGTGTAAGCCGTGGCTTATTAAATATATCCCAGCTGGGTTCATAGGCCATACATAAACAGCAGTTCACAATGCTGTTTATAAACAGTTGTTATGTTTATTTTATATTTATATTATGATCACAATGACTTGGTTCTCATATTGTGTCAAACCATAATATGTTTTATGTGGCTAGAGTAAGAGAGTAAATCTTACCATGAGCGTGTAGGGAGGAAATGTATGTTACACTGTGAGAGATTTTAAATGTAAATCATGGTTAAAAAAAAGTATCCGATTTGAAGCATATATTCCATATCTGCCATGTATATGTTTTTTTGGAATAGTTATTTGACTTTTCCCTTAGCTAGTTTGCTTTTCTATGAAATCCATTTTGGATTACAGTTTTACAACAATGTCTAGCATTTTCCTCAAAATGTAAAACAGGTCTGCAAAATGTGTTTGCCTGCCCTCAAAGTTGGGAGATTCCAGTGGGATAGGTTCCTTCATTCCCAAGGCAACTTTTAAAAAACAATACTAAGTTTATAGTTTTCATATAGAAAAGAAACAAGAAAATACTATGTAGATAATTTCTTTATAACAGGGAAATATTATTGCTGAGCTTCACAAAAATGTTTATTTTATCAGAAAGAGGGATAGATTTTTATTCTTACCTTAAATAACTTGAAAAGGTATGAAATCCTAGCCACCCAACTGATATGTTTATAAAAGTTTATAGCAACAAAAGTAAGCAATAGGTCAGTGTTGTACTCTAACACTTATTCCAAAGGTAATGTACAGTATAGTATTTAAATCACTTAGGCAACCCAAAACAAAACACAACAGTGTAGCCTTTTGATGTACAGTATGACCAAAATGAAGTACTTAAGCAGAATGACTCAACTCTAGGAGCTACCTTTTAAACAACTGTTGTAGTGTTAGCAGCCGATATTTCTTGAATTTCTGTAACATTGGCACATAACTTCTCTACTGTATCAGTTAAAATGCTAAACATAGTTTGTGGCTTGGAAGAAAATTTTGAGTTCTCTATCTCTTCTGTTTCTGTGTTGATATTGTCATATGGGTTCTTTAATTGTGTTATTTTATCTTTCTGCTCAAATGTACACCACTTTGAGAAACTATGCTGACAGGAATCAATAGTACCGTCTGTAGGCAAAGCAGGATATAACAATAATAGCAATGTTTGCATTTCTACTCTATTCATAACGAAGTACAGTGTGATAGGGTGGAGAAGATATTAAACTGATCAGATAAAATCAAGGAAGGCTGATCCATTTGTCGCTTTTGTTGCAGAAATTAGACACAACCGTCTTCTGCTTTTTTCATTAAACATACAGATGTATAGTTGCTGCTGTTGGAGCTACTTAATCTCTCAGCAGTCTGACAAATCTGTCTTTACCATTTCAGTCTGCTGGTAAGTGTTCATATGACAGAAACTCTTCTATGTTTTTTAAAAAATCCTTCCACATAAAAATGTGAAAGAGAAAGATTCTACCTTGGTCATCTCTTTGATATTCCAATATCTAAGGCAGGGATGTCAAACTGGCGGCCTGCAGGCCGGATGCATCATGCGCAGGCCACGCCCACCCCAGCTCTGCAAAGGCAAAAAACATCGCGATACATCACGATATGTCACGTGATGTGATCGAGTTTGACGTGATCTAAGGGGTTGCCACAAAGAAGAGGAAGCCAAGCTATTCTCCAAAGCACCCTGAGGGCAGGACAAAGAAGCAATGGATGGAAACTAATCAAGGAGAGAAGCAACCTAGAACTAAGAAGAAACATCCTGACAGTTAGAACAATTAATCAGTGGAACAACTTGCCTCCAAGTTGTTGTTAATGCTCCAACACTGGAAGTTTTAAATAAGAGATTGGACAACCATTTGTCTGAAATGGTATAGGGTTTCCTGCCTGAGCAGTGGGTCAGACTAGAAAACCTCCAAGGTCTCTTCCAACTCAGTTAGTCTAAGTCTAGTCTAGTCTAGTCTATACAGTTAACCAAAGTTTATTAAATAAACAACCATTGGGAATTTATGCAACATATTAAACTATAAACTGTTTTCAAATTTCACATGTTATGCCTTAGCTTGATAGCAACTAAGGCTATGCATGAGAAATACATGTAATTTCTACAGAAATGAAAGAGAAAACTGTAATTTCTTGTCACAGAGGTTGGTTACAATCAAAATAATATAAAAGTCTGTAGAACGTAAAAAATAACTTTGAAAACTTCACAACCTTTGTTTCCCTACCATTGTATGAATAAGTACTCCCACTTTAGAAAAGCACTGAATGCTTCTGATGAAAATCTTATGCCATAATGAACTTGCTGATCTTGAAAATGCCTGAAGATTTTTGGCTGTTCAAGAAAATGGAATGTGTGGAACTGTATCTAGTGCCACAATAGAGTTGAGGATTCCTTCTCAATTATTTGAAGCCTGCAGTTGTTTGCTATGAGTGCCTTGCCTCTGCATATCACAAAAAGCAGGAGGTGCTTTTAGTTCCTTTTACCTCCACCCTTCTCTCTTGTAACTTTTAGTCTGCCCCACCTTTTAGAGCAGCAAAATAATCTCCTTTAAGCCCAAGGGAGGTGTCCAAAGGACAAGGGAAAAGGAACTCCCAATATTAAAAGGTAATACATATCAAACAATTTTACAGAGGTACATTTCAAGAATATGGTTAGAGGGTTAAAAGAAAGTGGAAATTAGGCAAACTAAAAAATGATAGTGTTTGTAATATACATCACATTTCAGTTATTTGTAGTATTAACTGCAAAGTTTGATATGAAAAACTAAAGTAATTTATCCATTGCAGAATCTTCTTCAAAATAAATTGCTACACTGTAAGTGTGCCAGATGCTTCTATTTATTTATTTAGCATATGTTTTTAGAATTGTACTGATCACTCCCTAGAAAATAAATATACATAAAAAAAACAAACTCAGGAGTATTTTCTCATCTAGATTCTCTTTAAAAAAAACTAGTTTATTTGAATATTCTCAGAGAACTGAAAACATAAGACAAGGGATCTTTACCCAAACTGTGTGCAAATACACACACACATAGATTTGAACAGATCTTTTCCAGAGAAGTATTCTTATTGTGTTTAAATGCTGCTTGCAATTCTATCTAATAAACCATTCTTTCCAAAGCTGTTTGAGGAGGTAATTATTTCTAAATGGTGTAGTAAGGATGTTTTCCAGGAATTTCCAAATGCAAAATGTTTGAAAAGTGGCACATTTCTTTGATAAAATAATTATTTCATGAGAGGAAAAAGCGTTTGGAAATGGACATGTCAGGCTTTTAGCATCAATATAAACACCTTTGCAACTTGATAAGAAAAAATAGTATTAACATAGCCATGTCCATGGCAGATAAGATGTGTAGGGCGGGTAGTCTATTTCTTTTTTTTTCTTCCCTCCGTTTTGGAAACTTTTTCGACTAAACCATTAGATGCGTTACATGATCTTATGGTGGAGCTCAGCTCCTTTTTCTATATAAATATTAAAATAAACTGTTACAGATGGCAAGTTTAGGAAAGGATCATTCATACTCTGAAACGCCAGAGCAGCCAGAGGCCACACCTGAAGAGTATGCGGTTGCAGGTAATGCAAATTATTTTGGGAAAGGGATTTCTTTTCGGGGTTGCATTTTTTTGAGAATTACCTGGTCTCTGATCCTTGCCCCTGATAAACCTCTATTCTTATTTTGCTTTTGGTGAGTAAACATTGGGAGGATCTTCTGCAAATATGGTTTGTGTGCATAGCACCCTTTAGGCTTCGGCCCTTTTCCTTCAAATATGTAAAGACAAGCAAAATGTTAAACATAGCAGAAGGTTATCCCCTCTACTTTTAAACAGCTTTAGACTTGGACTGGGATGATCAGTTTGGATCTTCCCAGCTATGAAGCTCATTGGATGATCTTAAAAACTCCTCACCTAATTTTTCTTGCAAGGTTGCAAATGTAGAATGAGGAAGTAAGGGATATAAATATGGATCAAGAGAACCCTGATTTGTTCAAACTGCTTCCACATAAAATGTTCCATCAGTCTTCATCCTCAAAACTCTGGAGAATAACCCAACCTTGGCAATGCCTAACAAATGTATATCTCTATAACATCGTTTGCTATAGTGATGCAAAGAAAATCAGAGACCAAGATAAATACTGAAGTATAACTACAGTAGAGCTAGCCACCAATTAAGTCAAGGGAACAGATGCAAGCATTTTATTTCAAGCATCAGGAAAGATGTGCAAATTATTACTTTATTGCCTTGATTTTATTGCCAGGGAAATAAAGAAGCATTGATGGGATTTTCTACCTCAGATACAAAAATAATTTGATCCCATGTTGGATGCCATGTGTATCTTAACTTAGGGAAAGGATGGGTGCTATTTTATGTTCTGCCTCAGGCAGCCCTTAGACCCACTGCTAATTCTCCCCGCGCCTCTCCACACTTGCCACAAACTGCCATGAATAATAAATGGAAAAGCAGAGATAAATGTGAAAAACAGGGAGATAAATACAATGACTGTATTAGACTTGTTTCCAGTCAGAAGCCTTGTGGTGGGAAAATGGGATAATATAGCTGGGAAAAGGAATTGGTATGAGAAAATAACTGTAAGAAAACTAAAAATTATTTCTGCTAGTCAGATGTCCTGCATCTCTACCATAAGAGTCCATTATCCTCATATTAGCCTTATAAAGAAATCCTATTGTTGAACTCTAGATTGAACTCAAAATATCCATTTCTAGATAGACAATCACAAATTGTGTAGTGCTTTTCTCTTTATTTCAGTTGTGAATATTGAACAAAGGCATCAGAGCAGATGATGTTGCTATAGAGTTGCTGGGTTTGGCAACGGTGGTCCTTGCTGTGAGAGAACAGTTTGTCAAAACAACCTTTCTGTTTTATGTGGCACTTGTGGCGGGGGAGGGGGAGGAGAAATATGGCATTATTTATTTATTTATTTTGTTTCGTTGTACCGGTTGGACATTAGTACAAAGCAAAAACTCTAGAAAATGGTAAAGTATAATGATGAAATGACGAGAGACGGTTGGTACACTAGGTACCCGCCAAATGGTATAAGAGAGCAAATCTCTTTACATTGCAAGATACTCAGTGCTTCCCTCACCATCGAAGATTGGAGGACAGATTCATTTCATGCATAGGGAGACTTCACTTGCTGCTGAAGTGGACACTATGGATAATATTCCACATTTGGATTGAAACAAACGTTTGTGTCTTGCATGAATCCAAACCACAGAGAACCATCAGGTGGCAGGCGTTAGTAAATATGCTGATGCAAGATTTTTTTCCCCTTTGTTTTATGGTACAGTCCATCTAAGGTAGATACCATTTTAATACTTATATTTGAATACCATAGAATATAAATAAGCTAATCTTAAGGTGTCACTGAAAAAAAAACACTGCTACAGCTGATGTGCTTCTATTACAAGTGTGGAGTTAATTTCTGTCATAGGTACAGACCACTTTTCCTCTTGATAGCCTCCTGACATATTGTAATAGCATTATTAACAGATTCAAATGAAGGAGAATCAAGTAGAAATTTCCTAAACTTTGGGGAAACCATTACCTGAGAAAAATGTTAAAAAGTATTTATGAACAAGATGCACTTATCTTACATGTGTCATTGTCTGTGTCAAAGGCAAATGAAATGTAGATTCTGTCAAGCTAGAAAATGAAGTTGTTATCACATGTTATAGCTTTCATATCTTAACTGACTATGAAATATCATCCTATAATGGCCGTAGA